CGCTCCGCCTTTGGGGAGCCGCCGCGAGGGGGAGGAGGTGCCCCCCCCCCCCCCCCCCCTCCCCGAGGCCCCTCCCCCAGCCATAATGAATGACTTGTCATTACCTCCTGGTGAGTGATAGGCGCACTCCGCCGAGGCCCCTCCCCCACCCGCCTTCTGCACGCGTCGCCGCGGCCCGGAGGAGGAGGAGGAGGAGGAGGAGGAGGAGGCGGCGGCGGCGGCGGCGGCGGTGGAAGCGGAAGCGGCGGCGGAGGCTTTCGCGCCAAGGGCCGCGCCGGCTCGGCGTCCTAGAAGCCGAATCGGACCCTTGTGTACTTCGCCCGAGAGGACGCGTGCTCCGCCGTATTCCCGCCTGGTCACTTCACACCGCTCTATTCACACCGCAGGGTCGGCGCCGCCCTTGCGGCCTCTCCCTCTCCCGCCTGCCCGGCGTGAGGAGGCTGCGAGGGTCGCCGTCGCCGGCCGCCGCGGGAACGGCGTCCCGCCCGTTTCTCCAGGCGGCTATCTTCCGTTGCCGTAGAAGCGTCAGCTGATCTGACAGCTGGTCCTCCCGAGTCGGGCTGGCCACAACACGCTAGCTGCCACAGGAAGTGTCGATGGTGGGGAGAGCCAGCCCTCTCCTCTTCACCAGGCGTCGCGTCGCGCGCCTCCTCTCGCAGCGGCGCCTCCTCGAACGCCGTCTCGTCGGGCGCCGCTTCCCCGCTCCCCCTCCGCCGTTGGTTTCCGCCGCCGGCGACCACGAGGCGCATTAGTTCCCTTATTTCCCCCCCCCCCCCCCCACACCCCGGTTGCGCCTGTCTCCGCCGGCGGCGACCACGAGGCGCATCTCTCTCCCCATAGCTCGCCACATCTCGCCACATCTCCCCTCCTCTCCCCACATCTCCACCCTGGAGCGGGCATGCACACTAGGCGGCGCGCCACCTCCCCGCCTCCCGCCGAGGCCGCGGCACGCAGGGCGCTCGAGCGCACATTGCTCGCTGCGCGCCGGAGCACGAGGCCGCGCGGCCGCGAGGCGGCCGCCGGCTGGTCTCGCCTCGCCGACTCATCCGATGAGGAGTTGTGGCCGGCCGCCCCTACCACCAAAGGACCGAATCCAGGCCCGCAGCAGTGGCCGGCCGCGCTGCCCGCGGCCGACGCGGCGCCCCCCCCCTCCGCCGAGGCCGGCACCAGCGCGTTCGGCGGCGGCGGCGGCGAGTGGGGAAGAGGCGGCGGCGTCAAGGGAGTGGACGATGCGCTCAAAGAGAACTGGCCGCGCGCCAAGGCGGCGGAGTGCGGCGAGCCCGCTCCGTCCGAGGTTTCCATGGGCGACATCGACCGGCGCCTGAACGCGCTGCAGCATTTCCTCGCCGAGGCGCGGATCGGCTGAGGGGCTGCCGGCGGCCGCGAGATTTCTAGTGGCGAGAAGGCCTGAGCCCCGGCGGGACGTGTGCGCGGCGCCTTGCTGAGGGGGAGGCAGGCTGCCAAGGTCGTTGGACCGCCGCGGGGGCGCGAAG